GACAACGAAGTGAAAACTAAGGCGACGAGAGGAGAGAGAGAGAGAGAGAGAGAGGTAAAGGAGAAACAACGCGAAACAACAAGCAGACCTCCACTCCGTGCCTTCTTCTTCCGGCTCGTCGTAGAACGACGGAGAACGCGGCCATGAGAAACGATCTTTCGCTCGATGCTCGTCGTCGGGTGGAATTCCTAAAAATAAGTTCCAACCGACGAGAGCCAACCTCTCCTTCGAGAGACCCTAAACATCCACGGGTTACATCCATGGCCGCGCAACGTTATTTCGTCGCCTGGGAGAAGGACGTGTCGAGAGAGTCGTAACTCATTTGGAGCGGCCCGAAATTCTCTCTCTTTCTCTCTTCCCTTCTAAATATGTATTCTCTTCGTTGGAAAAAGAAAGGTTACTTTCGAACTACACTCTCTCACGGAACACTCGCCTTGAGCAACGACGACGTTGGAATTGGGGAAACGAAGGGTGTTTCTTATAATTTTCGATTTACGAAGTGAGCAGCTAGTCTTCTACTAATATTTCGTTAATTTTAATTTAATCACGTTGCTCGTCGTCCATTTTTTCTTCAATTATCTCTTTTGGATATAATTTATTATTTTTATTTTTTTAAAATAAATCCGTCGCACGTTTTGAAATCTCTGTTCGACCGAATTTTCGCGCGTTTAAAAAATATATATATATTTTTTCACATACGTGTTCGTGATTGTATGTTATTTAAAAAAAAAATTGCCTCCAATATATTTTAATCTTTACCCTAAATGCAATTAACCGTTCGATAAAATTTGTACTCGACGGTTTTTAAATAATTCGTCGCAACATTTTCGAACATCTCCGTTTAATTGAATTCTCGTGTAACCGAAATATAATCGTCACCGCTGGCGAATTTTTTATTTAAATATTCCCTTTCGATATTTTGAAAAAAAAAAAAAGAGAAAAGAAAAAAAAATCTCTTAAAATCCTAAATTCGGTGACGAATTAACACCAGTTTTAACCAGCTTTAATTTATCGCCGAACGTATTATCGAGTGGAATACTAATTTCGTATAAAATATCGAGAAAGAAATAGATACGCTTACCTGTTTGGAGAAGACAGCGATGTCCTCGTTGAAGCTTTCTGACGAGCACACGTCACCACCCGCTACGCCAGGTTCGCGCGGCGTACACGTCGCCAACTCGCACTTCTCGAAGATCAGCGCGAGAAGCGGGAACAGGGGGTGTCTGTAACAAGGAGAAAGCCAATGTGAGATAAAAGTCAGCCAAACCACTGATATCTCGACGATATCTCATTCGAGACGAACGTATTTCCAATTCGAGATATTAATTAATTCCGTGGCTAGTCAACAAGCCCGTTTCATATTTCGAACGATTTATTCAACGATTTTATCTTTCTTTCTTGCTCTCTCTCTCTCTCTCTCATTCTCTGAATCTTCAATTGGTCAATTTTCTTCCGGTGGAAAGAAGAGGGGGACGCAAGAGATGTATACACGAGACCCTCGATATATTTATCCTTGCATCGGTAAACGATATCGTCGATTAAAACGCGGACAAAGACAACGTGCACAGATGTAGATAAGCAAGCCGTGAAAACAACAACGAAATGGTGAAAGCGAGGTTGAATAAAAATCGTGTTCGACACTGGGATATTATGTGCAATTACGTGTCATTTTCACGATAAAATAAAATAACAGAGATTATCGAAAATATTATTTTCCTTTTCTTTTATCGACCAAATTATTCACACTCGCGATATATTTTACATACTAAATTTTTTTTTAACGTAATTCGAAACATTCGTCTTACATTTCTTGCATGTTACGAGGCGGACAAATTAATGGAACAATTAAAAAATATAAATGGAATGTAACATTGTTACATATATACATGTAAGGAATAGAAAAATAAATGTATTAAAATTTCTATTCTACAAGTATATAACAATATAAATATGAATTTTGATATTTTTCTACTTAAATATACTCACTTGTATGACTCACTTAAGGTTAAAGTAAAAATATCAATCACGATAATATCGAATCCAAATCTTCTTTTATATTTACAATACGAATCGAATATAATAATGAATAAAAGTAGAAAAAAAAAATATTCTTTACATCCACCGATTAAAATGCATGGAAATCGAAACGAGTTTCAAGATCAAAAATCGTTCACGATTGGTGTTCAGCTCGCAAGGTGAACCCTTTCTCGATCCGACGGCACTCGATCGCTTCGCGTTCTTGCAAATGTTGTCCGATAAGTTCATCGACGCTTACACGTTGCCTTGTGGCCGATTCATCGTATCATTTTTCACACACACACACACTCGCATACATAAAAAATATATATATATATTTTTCTCAACGACACTTTTCTAATTGAGTAATTGGTCCGCGAGAAAACGTATGTCGGCCTCGTGTATAGCCCGCGGTGAAAGAAAAACATGTAAAAAGCGTAGAACGCGTCAATTAAGCAAGGTGTGCTCGACCGACTTCGATACCATAAAAATCGTCCGCAACGATTTCTATTTCGCGCGTTAATTATCTACAGTCGGTCACAAAAGTATTCGCATATTTTACACGACTTACTCAATTACAACGGGTCACAATTATTAAAAAAAAAACATCGTAATCCCATTTTATGCGTCGAGATGTAAAGGATAACGAAGTAATTTTTTTAAATGAAATACGAGCGAGAAATCAAGCCTCGATCAATACACGACGTAGGAGAAATTTTCAAATTAGAAAATTCTTCCTGCGTGTTGCTACGCTTCATTATCGTGAGAAATATTCCTAACAGACTTGTGCGATACGATAACTCGTAAAATCGAAATTACGATAAAAAGACAAAAGAGAAAGAGACAGAATTTCGTGTGGCACTTTTCACGTTTTTACGTAGGATTTTTTTTTTCTTTTTTTTTAGGTTAAGTGAGTCTTGTTTGCGAGATAAGGTGTATTCTTGCGACCGACTGTACCGCACTTGGTGTATCGACAGGTTGTAAATAATCGATCTTACGTTAAACGTTTCTTCTTGTCTTCCAAGTTGGAAATTCCAATCACGAGGGCGAAAAGAATATTTTTCACGTTTGTTCTTCCGAGCTTGTTCTTGGCGCGGCGTGCACAGTTACAGAGCGCGGCATTAGGAGGATCACCGGATAAGATAAGATTAGCCGATGCTGGTGCAACCGTACGTTGCAACCGGTGGGGAACCGTGGCTCGTGATTTAAAGGTGCGTACATACACCTCGAAGAAAAAAATACGCGCGTGACAATTTAAAATGATGTACAGCGCGCATTCTTGATCGCAAGAGTTTCGTGTAACGAGGGTTTATTAATTGTTGCGAGGTATATACGGTGTAATGAATCTGGAACAGGAAGGAAAAGGAAATAAAGGTATATATCGTGTTTTTTTTTTTGCAAATAATAGGATTTATATCTGCGTTATTGATGATCGTAATAATTAATTTTAATTACCTCTTCCGTTTTCCTCCGCTTAATTGTTTAATTATGTATTGTATTTTTTTTCTTTCTTTCTTTCTTTCTTTCTTTTTTCTTAAGATTTACATGCGATAAATTACAAATTTTTACCGCATATACTTTTCCTTCTTCCAACTGCTTTTCCTCAACTTTTCTTCAAAAGGAAAGGGAAATAATTTTTGATGGATCGTTCCGAGACGATTTACATTCGCGGACGAATATCCTCTCGTAATGCCTCCCAATAATATGATTAACGAGACTTTTATTAATTGTTATTACGCTCGTTACGAAATTTATATTTACCATTTATACATTTTATACCACTCGTATTTATCGATTTCAACGATCTGAGACCGGCAAGATGCGTGTGTATAACGATCTCAATACTAAAAAGTTAATGATCTAGAAAATACTAAGTGCTATTATTACGCGTATAATTTACGCGTATCCATAAGAAACGGTAAAAAAATACACGTAAAGGAATGCGAAAAAAAAAAAAATACGCGAATATAAATATTCAAAATAAAATGTCGATTGTGACTATTAAATTGCCTGGTGGTATATCCTTATATTCGATATGAAG